CTTTAATGGTGATGGTATTTCAATGGAACACATAGTACTGATAAACGTTATTTTGTTTCAAAAACAAGATACATCCATAGAATTTATATTTCACCAAAATTTTTCTGTTTCTTTTTTTTTATGAATTCATTCTTGTATATTTACAGAGAATGTCTTGGGAAATTCGGTGATATACTTGGTAAAGAAGTATGGGATGCAATAAATTCTGTTTTTGATGTACTTCCACTTGCTGCAGTAATCGATGATGCAGTACGTAAAATTTTTACAAGAAAATAAAAATAAAAGGTTCTGTTCTAAATTATTTTCATAATTTAGATTTTATGTCTTCATGGTGGTATTCCAAGTCCTACTTCATGTCCAGGTGAATTTATTTCAAAAGTTAATGATATATCTGTACCATTATGTGATCCAGAAATTGAATCACCTTTAGCATGGGAAATAATGTGGAATGATCCATTTTCACTTGAAACAAATATAATGATTCAAATACCAAATAGTATTACTAATGGATTTTTTAATAACACAAGACGAAGTACTGGAAATTATTTTACTAATGAAGCATTGACGGCATTTCTTGAGAAAAATAATTTTACACATGTTGTTCGTGCTCATGAAGTACAACAAGCAGGTTTTAAAGTAAATAATTTTTTTAATATTTGAATATACTTATGGCATACTAAAAATAATGGCGAAAGTATATGAATTTCCTACAAAAAGTTTAAACAAATCTTCTCTCTATGACTTTTAATAGTAAAAATAGTACTCTACATAGTGTCTCAAAAGTCTATCGGAAAAGTTAACGTAAATGACTCTTATATTATTCGAGTGATTTAATTGATTTGTTTATAACATATTACTGTTCCTTGAAATTTCTCTCTGTATATATTCAGATAAATGTCTGTGTCTATAAACATTAGAAAAAAAAAATCTTACTAATGATAAAATTTGAGTTATCAACGGTTGTGAAATAAGAACTCAATTAAACTTGTTAAAACCACACCAGATGAAGATTTCATTAGAGTAATATTTCAACGTCTTGGTGAAACTGGTACAGTGCAAGGCTGAAAACATTCTTACAAACCGTCAAAAATTATAGAGGAAAAATTCGACTAAGTTCGTGATGTTTATGAAAATGAACTGCAATCAAGTGTTGCAGCTATTATTACGAAATCCTTTATTCCATCAACGACAGCACACAGAATTATGATTAAACATCTGTCATTTACACCTAAACATCATAACTTTCGTCGACTTCTTCTGCAATTTTCAACAGTATTTCAGAATGTTCTTGATCTTACACTGCACTAATTTTACCGAAGCGTTGATATGTTACTGTAATGCAATCTTCATTTGGTGTGTTTTTGTCAAATTTGATCATGAATAAAATCTTTTTTTATTCGGATGTTTATAGGCGTAGATATTCATCTGAAAATATGCAGAATAAAACTTTGAAGGACATATTAACATATTGTAAACAAATTAAGTAAATGGGTGGAACTGTATACGAAATATCAGCGTTAACTTTCTCGACAGATTTTTATGACACCCTGTACATTTCTGTACTATTTGATCATTCTTCAATTAATATCATAATAATAAAATTTCGACAAGAGCTGTTTATAATCATATGTGACGGTAATATCAGATTACACTGTGTCTTCGATGTGTACCTTCTTCTTTTTTCTCATCTTTTCTGATGCTTAGCCGTCTAGATATATTAGCATATAGAAAAACTAATGTCGGTAGAATAAAAAGGAAAATCAAAATAAAATCTAAGCGATCAAAATAATTCATAGTGCTACAAACAAATTCATGAATTATTTGCGTTCAATTGAATGTGAAAAACAAGACCGATCATTTTGAATACTTAATGAAATCAAGACTTGATATACTTGTTTCTATATTCCTTGTTTTTGTTCTACCGACGCTAATTTTTCTATACTCTAATATCTATAGACGGCTAGACATTCGAAAAAACGAGAAAAAAAGAAGAAGATGATACACATCGGGCACAACATATGATTTAATATTACCATCACAAATCATAATAAACAATTCTTATAGAAATTTTTATTTTTACTATAAGACCATATAGAGAAAAAGTTTGTTGAAGCTTTGTTTCAGGAATGAAGATATCTTTGTCATCCATGGAATAATAAAAAAGAAAAAAATGATGTAAAAATCATGATTTCAATGAAAATGCTCAGAAGATGAAAGAATGGGATGTTAATAGTATTCCAAAAATCCTGAAAATAGTAATCAGAAAAAGAAAAAAATAATAAGGATAAACTTTTTTAAGATATTAAACTATATCTTCATCTTTCTGACAATGTGAGGCTGTAATTCATGCTATAGATTTATCTATTTCATCGAATATACTATAATACTACTAAAATCAAATATGAAAACTTTTTTCTTGAAACAAGCCATTGCTAATGCAATTAGCACTGAAATTCTGTATGACCTCAAAATTTTCTCACAGAAAAATGATGACGGAAACTAATAACATGTCATTTCATTTGATGGATTTCAAAATCATTGATGGCTTTCATGGCATGAAAAATTGTTAAATTGACATGAAAGACATAGAATGAAAATGATGTAAAATTAATGAAACTAAACTAATGATTTTCGTGAGTCTAGGATCATTCTTACACGGATGTGGATGCGAACTAAGAGATAATCCACTTTTGCAAGCAACCGTCCAGTTGCTGATTTTTGTTTCTGTGAAATAATAAATTTCATGGAATTTTATTATTGTCTGAGTACTAATTTTGATACTATTATTTTTCAATATAATTTTTTAGGTTCAATTAAATGGTCGTCTTCTAACAGTTTTTTCATCGTCACATTATTGTGGTGGTACGAATGATGCTGCAGCTGTTCTTGTTGATTCATCAAAATTACGATTAATTAGACTTCATACAGCATAAAAAAGAACTTTCATTTATTTTTTGATTTTGTTTTTTGTTTTTCATTTTTATATTTTTTTAATTTCTACAGTTTGAGAATATATTTTTCTTGTTCTGTTAGTAGTCAGCACGATCTGTCTGATACAATCATTGTGTACTAACAAAAAATGATTCGTTCTATATTATATGCTTATCGAACACTATTCATATCCGTTTGTGTATATCTATGTACTTTTTTTAATATTATAATGACTCACATACCTGTATTAAAATGGATATGTAAAATGAAATTTAAACAAAATAATAAAGTTATTTGTATAAAATATTTATTATATTATTTGGTAAACGATAGAATTCAACTTTCATGATGAACCAAAAATTCTTTAGATCAAATGAGAATGAATTACAACAATTATTTTCAAAACCGAAAAGATTAGGATTGTTGTCATCATCTAAAGATAATCTGTCTACACAGGATTCGTACTGATGAAGAAAGATTCCAATGTATTCAATACTAAAACTAAAATCGATTCAAGTATTTCAGAAACAAGATTTAATCAAATAATTTTTAATTTAATCTCAGAGATAGAGCTATTCAGATTTCATGGATTCATGTAAAACCTTCAGTTATATTTAGAAGTCTTTTTAATGTTCTGTATCGTATTTTTCTTTTTTGTCAATTTAAACCAAATATGGAATCTCGAGTATAATGAGTGTCTCTTTAGGCAATAATTATAGAAAAAAGATTAGTTATATATACTAAAAATATTTCAATATTAGAAAGATAATTCTCGAATGATGCTTTTAAGTGTCATTAGTTGGACATGTCTTTTTGATTCTTCTTAAAGTCTTAGGATTAACAAGGTTTAATGGTTTAAATCTCTTGGTAAAGATCTCATTGCAATTTTCTCACGAAAAAAAGAAGATCTGATATGATCGTCCTTTCCAACAATAGAAAGCTCTTGATTAATTTCTCGAAAAGCTGGTAATCTAAGCAGTACATTGCCATCAAAACATACTTTGTTTGTAAGGATTGGATGTGAAAGTCTTAAAAGAGTCGGGTTAACTTTATCTCTAAATATTCAAAACCATGAAAACCTTCTTATCAAATTCTTAATATCATTTGGATTTTATCAAGAAATCCTAGAAATAAAAGAAACACAATAGAAGACTTTTCCCTCAAAACTTTGTACGCTTTCAAATAACAGAAGATTGTGGCTATTCTACTACAGAAGATGGTATGAGATTATAATGACAGTCTCTCATATGGGTAATGAACGATAAATAGAAGAATTAGAACTATTTCAATTCTTTTGATTGCTATTTTTGAAAGTTACCTTCAAATTTTGAGTTGTTTGATTTTCAAATAATTACATCTAGGAGGCTCCATGGGATGCCTCTCGTCCCAGTCTTGCGAGATTTTCGATTTTCTTCAGCGAACTTCCAGAGTTTTATTGTTTTGTCTGCTTGTCAATTTGTAAAAAAAGCTCCAATCTACTTTCCTAAATCCGACCAACTTTAGCAAAACTTTTTCAATCAATCTTCTGAGCCATCGACCTTCCGTTCAATTCTAGCAACCACAAGGTATTCATGATTGCATAATTTACAGGCATTTAATAAACAAAAATATTACTATGGCCTATTCACAGATAATATTTATTTAAAAAAGCGGTTAGCGAAATTCTTGTGAGATTTAAATGTGAAACAAACTGTAGTTGCTCTTGTCAATCACACGAAAATAGTTATTCTATCTATTTTGATACAAAATTTTTCGTTATTCTATCAAATAGTCGTTGAAAAATGTCATAAACAATTAATTCATATATTGTAATGAGACGTTATTGATATATGTACAAGCTGTGATCATATGTCTACGTCTGTAACAATTTGTAACGCTGGGGGAGAGGGAAGGAAAGAGCACGGTGCTCCTGAAGTGTTTGTCATAGTCTTTAATCAATGTTTAGAATACGGTCTGTGATGAATCGTCAGGATTCTTTTAAATTGTGTTTCACAAATTAGTATATATCTACAATTGAATAGGTTACAAAAGATTTTGTTGGTTTTTATTTCAATCGGCGTCAAACAGTTTTAAGTGTTTCTTGTCAAAGACATTCGTCTTTGTGAAGAATGTCGAAAAATATTAATAATTTTAATCTTTATTAAAAATTGTTTTCGGAATTGTCTTGAAGCACAACAGAATAAATAAAACCCAACACCGAAGTAAACGGAACTCCACATCAGAAGAAATGATCGTGTTAATGAATGTGATAAACTATTTTTTGTTGTTTCATAACCATAATAAACAGCATAACTATTAAATGGTATTTGTGTTATTATATATGCAATAATATTTATTATAACCATTGACAATAATACACGATCACTAGCTATATTTTGTCGTCGATCATTATTAGTTGTATTAGTTGATTGTAATATTGGAACAACAATAGTCGCAAGTGTTTGATTATGTGTTATTGTTTGTTGAGTAACACGTTTACGTGATTGTCCAACATTATAAACCATTCGACAACCACATGCAACCATAATCACAGTCGGTATAATACAAATAAGAGTAAAACGTATCGGTGGCATAACATAAACGGCTAATATACGAAAAGTACCATTAAAATCAAATGTACAAAAGCCTTCATTATCAAATGTATTTGATGGATAAAAGAAAAATGAATAAAGTAATATTGAAAATAATAAATAAATGATTGAGAGTTTACAAACATTTTTTGGTGTACACCATCTACGTGATAACATAAGATATTCAGAACGTAAAAAACGATCAATTGATACTGTTGTTGCTAAAAAAGAACATATTGTACGTGTTGCGTTTTGTAACCATAAAATAAATTGACATCGAAATACATCGAATGGAAAAATTTGAATAACAAATAGACTATCAACAAATTCAAAAATTAAAGATAATAGATGAATTGTATTCGTTATAGTAAGTAAAAGAAAAAGTAGACCAGTTGATACTTGACGTAATTCTTTTTGTACAAAAAGTAATGATGCAAAAAAATTTCCAATAAAACCAGCAATATAAATAAGTGTTCCTATAACAGCAGTACTAATACGTAAAGCATCCATTGCTTTGAAAAAGGATAAAATTCTAATTGCTTTGAAAATTGTGTTCATTCATTATCTTTCTCTTTATATGTTATGATTTTTTTTATATAGTATTTATTTATATATAAGTCATTATTTTTATAAAAAGTGATGATGTAGATTATCTCTTTGTCAAGATAAAAAAAATGTGCTGACGTCACACTCTTGAAAGAGGAATAAATAGAAAAATATTTCTTGGGTACATTTTGATCAAATGATTATTTTATTTGAAAGTTTCCTTGTGATCATCTCACTAAATGAACATTGGGCATAGAATAGCATTATTTTGTAAATTAAAATCAGTCCTCTCTCTTACCTTGATAAAAAGGATTTTTTCATCAAAACAATAACAATATGTGAAGATAATCCTAGATCTGATGTTTCATAGTTTGTACCTCGTTTTTCCCAAAAATTTTAGATGATTTTCGCCATTTTCTGTATGAAAATTGTGCTTTTTTTTTAAGAAAAAGTGGCAAATATTTTTCAGCTTTTCTCTGTTAACATTTTTTGTTTGAAGAGCATGACAGGATGCAGAGCATGATGAAGTTGTTGTTTTGTGAGTTAAATTATGTTAGTAATTTGTAAAAAAAAGTACTTTTATGATCAGAGCGTTCTTTTTGAGAGTTTTTCGATATTTCGAACCTTTCAGCCTTTTCTCTAGTTAACAAGTACGAGATTAGAAAAAAAAGAAGCTTTTATCATGTCTTGTATTTTGACATGCTTTTTCAATCAAAAACATATATTGAGTATATAAAATGAATGGACACAGAGAATTTTGGTTTGTCAAATGAGCTTTTTTTTTATTTTTATTTGTTGAATACCTTTCGAAAATGTTACGATATAAGATTGAAAACTTTATCATAGCCTCTCCATCACAGCTTCAACATATCTTGAAAAAAATCATACAATTTGAATAAACGTAACCTGTAATCGTTTTTTGAAGGAGGGAAATCGATCTTAAAGTACACAGGTAAATCAATTGGATAGTAAAATCTTACAAAACTAAGGTTTTTGAAAGAACTTACTGCTTTGTTAAGTATCACACTAAAATTATCGGGAAACTTATATATTGGTAAGATCTTTGAAAAATTATAAAGTAGAATTTAACATAAGACTTCAGAGACGGCGCTTTTTCGTAGATTGTCTTGTGAGCTGAAAGATCTTACGTTTGATTTTTTTCAATTGAAAAATGAATAATGAAAATTAGTGCAGTAGTTTTTGGATGTTTAATGTTTGAAGTTGTGAAATAGATGATCAAGAAATACAAAAAAAAATTCAAATCGTTGTTACTTCGGGAAAAATAGAAACCATAGTAAAAACTAATTTAGAGATTCAGATGATTATTAAAATAATAACAGTTCAATGAATATGAAACATATTTTATTATCTTTTGCTAATAATCAAAGGATCGTATGTTGTTTTGAGAGACTATCTATTTTGATACAGTTAACATCATATTTTCATTTTATCATATATGATGGTCATCGAATATTTATTTTAGTTATTGTAGTAATAAATATCCTTATTGTGATCGTTTTATTTTAAATAAAATTTACCGCTTCAATGTGAGCGTTCAACTTTTGAAACTAAGAAGCATTCGAATGATTTTTGTCTGCATGGTTGAAGACAAATTGATTATTATTCTGTTTAAAAAAGTTATAAATTCTAGTATAAATCTTGTCAGAGTTGCATTTGATTTATCATTATTTTATTGTCTAATTTTATAAAGTAGATTAATTTTAATAAATGAATTATTACATAAATTGAAAAACACAAGTTTTATTGATTTTTTTACCATAGTTATCAACTGTAGTATACGAAAAAGAAAAGGAGAAATCATGCTTTGAATTACATATTTGCTTCTTTCTCTATTGCCTCGGCATTGAAACATGGTATGTCATTTTTATTTTATTGTATTAGTGTGAAATGATAAAATATGTATAGAATAGCTAATAATACGTCGAACAGTAGTTGAATGTAAAAGCTATCTATTAAAAGTACCAAAATATGACTTCTTTTTGAACGATCTCAAAGAGTTAAGTGTCTTGATTAGTTTGTGAACAATAAGGTAGAGTAGAAGACTTTTAATCTTCTAATATATTGACGTTTTTCTATACGGTTTAGTTTCTTAAAGAAATATTCAAAAAAAACTTCAGTGAATTTCCTACATCAAGTCACCATGCCGGTATCATTTGTGCTTGTCTTTTCAATTAACAACTCTACTTGTTTATCATATAGTTGAGTTATCGATTTTAAATCGAAAAGAAAATTTTAAGAATGAAATAAGACGGAAATCATAATTTAAAGCAATCTTATCAGTAACACTGAGTTTTGTTACACTAAAATACGAAATAAAATAAATATGCATGTATTCTTATCATTCATGTCAAAAACAGATTTCACTATTTCCGTTTTGAATTTTTTTTTTTTTTTTAACAGAAGTTTAGTGAAATTTTATTGTGAGATAGAAGAAAATTAGAATGATAAGGATAAAGAAAAGATTATGTCTGTCAATGTTTTGCATTTGTTAATTAACGTAAAATGACAAATAACGCATGTATAAATCCTAAAATTAGGATAAAAAATATTTGTAAAATTAATAAAAGTCTTTGTAATTATTGTACATACCTGGTAGCCAAAATAAAAGAGTTAAAATTAAATTGATAAGTGTCGTTTGGTTACAAGCATTTTCGTGAAGATAAACAGCCAGTGGTGGTATAAAAAAAGCAATAATGATAAGTACAATTTGATCAACCATTTTTCGATCTGTTTTGTATTAATCGAATAGTGTTGTAGAGTAAATCTAAAATAGTACTGATGTCTAGTTCCTTTTAAGAAACATATTTAAATTTTGTCGTTGTCACTAGATACTCTCGTCACCTTATTAAAAAAACTACTCCTGTTTCTTCACTACCAACATCTTACGCTATATACCACCTATGGTTTGTTCGCTGTAGCAGCTAAGTGTTAATAGTTGTAATGCATTTTCTTTATGACGATAAAAAAAAAAATCATGCCTTCTCTTTTTCTCTTATTCAGACGAACTGCTGCTACCATCATGCACGAACAATCATATAAGTTGTAATCGTATGACTATTATTCACATCAATTAGACTCGATGTAACTCGTATCGTATGAATAGAAAAAAAAAGAAAGAAAGAAGGAAATTCATAACAAATAGATCACAAAATAAAATGCTTTTCTACTCAGTGTATTTATTTACAAGTTTAATCGTTAAAGTTGCATAAGAATGCTTAAACATTTTCTTCTTTATATTCAATAGAATGTCTGTAGGACAAAGGAAAGAAAATGAATAAATTTTTATGAATAATTATAAACATTGAATATTTTCAGAATATTGCATGATGCTAAAAATAATATTATTCTACTTTTATTCCAATGAATACTTGAAAAGAAACACTAATTATCAACAATTGATCTGTGGCAAAGTAGTTTCCGGAATTTTACATGTCTTGGCATTCAAGCTATACAGAACTCGCTTTTTTACGGGTAACGCTCTGCTCCTACTACAAAGTTTTTCATTTGAAATAGTGCATTTCATCTTATGATTATTTTAACTGATTTAAATATTTATGAAGACTATTCTATAAGCTAATCAAAGAACATCATGACCTTGAATCGATTGACAATAATTTATCGTAACAAGTACTGACAGATTTAATTTCTCATGATAGAGAAACTCAACGAATTAGAGAAATTTCTGTTTATTATTTTGTGAAATGAAAAATATGGATGATGTTTAAAACAGTATGAATTTGACAAAACAAATAAATTTCGAAAGTAAAATCTATCAAAAATTGCACTGGTGTCATCTCAGTACATAATATTCATGAAGCAAAGCACGGTGGGTTGCAATAAATGATTCACCCAGTGCTTGTAAATGGGTGCATTGACGATGCATTAATAACAGTTTCGATATTTTTTCTCTTGGAGTTTTTTGTTTTCTTTTTACTAAATTTATGTCATGTCTTCAAACAGTGGCAACTAAACAGTTTTATATTTGAATTTTGATTATAATTTAAATGAATGATTCTATTTTCTTATTCTCGTTCTTAACATTTTAAACTATTTTTCTGAATTTTTTTCATCAGAATTTATAAAAAACGAGAGAACTCGAGTATGTGTCAACGTAAGCTTGTGATTTTTTTTTCTTCTTTCAAATTGCATTCCATTTTAAAGTAATTAAATACAAAAAAAAAAGAGAGAAATAATAGAAAAGGTTTTATTTTTTTTCTTTATTTTTTTAGCAATGAATATTATTTGTAAATTAAATTCATAAAGGGGTTTCTCTCTTATTTGCACTTGATATAATTGTGTATTAAAATGTACAACCAAACTATATGACTATTATTATTTGAAATTACAGTTGTCAAAATTTTTTTCAATAATGAATTAGGAAGAAAGTTATCATGAAGTCTTTTTTGAATGTAATAGGTGATCGAAAAGTATTTGGACAAGATTTTCGTTCACTTTTGATCCACTAGAAAGTATGTCTGATAAGTTATAATCAAAATTTTGTATTCTTTTCGAATATAGACTTACGAATGAATAGCCCGAACTGATGTCTATCGTTTGAGCCCATATTCAGTTCACGAGGAGCTCTCAATAAGACTAGAAAAATCCTAAAACAGTTTGTGCCTATATGTCTCTGGAACTCAGCGATGGCCGTTTCACTGATTTTAGGATTTGGTTTTAGGTATTTACCGAAAAATCAAACAATGAAATTTCAATCTGAAAGTTTGGACATACGTATATGTTTTCTTTAGAGTTGGTCCAATAACTTATTACGTTCTTACTTTTACCATCTATTTTTTGATTGAATCTCCTATTCATATGTGTGAACTTGTTGTGTAAACAGTATGTGTTTAAACATACGTTTACATGTCATTCTTTTGTGAAAATAATCTTGATTGACACGTATAATATTATTCTAAGTTTATCTATATCACTTCCATGTTTGTAAAGGAACATAAGTATAAAATTCATAGCTATTTATTGTGTTTTTCAAAAAATAATCCATTATTACCAATTTTCTATTTACCAATTTGTGTCCGCTTTTTTTACCGTATATTATTAGCAATGAGTTGTTTAATTAACTAGAACAGAACAAGTGAAACAATATTATGATTAACAATGTAAATCAAAAAATCAACTTAATCATCATGATCATTTGATATCATCCCTTGTATAGGTGACAAAAGATATGATGTCAAGTAGTAGATTTTACTTTCAAACTTTATTCATAATATTATTTGCACAACAGATTTTTATTCAGATAATATTAGAGCAACATTTAAGTGACAACAAAGGAAAATAATGATAAATATCTTTCAGACAAACTATAGAATGTTTAACGATTGATCGTTTTACTTTAGCGCAATTACATCGCATTTCATCTCTTGTATAGTTGTTTTGTCACCATTTCTAAAGCTTTATAACTAATTTTTAATTCAATTAAAAGAGGTAGATATGTTTTTATTTTATTGAGAAAATGTTCAACATAATAAATACTTACATGATCGATGTCAAGTGAAGTAAGATACGAGTATTCAACAACTGAGCACCGATTCTTGTCGTGAAGATGATGTTCGTGGAATCTTCAAAATGATGGTTGATTATTTCAAATAGATAAACGTTTAAGAAATGGAAAAGTCCGAGCAAGTCGAACTAAAAATTCATGTTTCAATGGATCTTTATCCTATAACTTCAAATGAGTAACAGAATAAAATACAATAGTTGTAATATTATTTCCGATCTGTGCGAGGCGATAAAATCCAAATCAAAGTGAAAAAGTGCAACAAATCATGTTCTTAGGGGCGAAATAATCTACCATACAAACCACCTATCAATGTTCTATATTTCTGAAAGTTCGTTGAATATCTGAATTAGATATGTAAATATCTCGATCAATAAGGTCATTGTCAGAAGCGATATAAAATGTTCAGAATTTCATTACAAGATGAGTACCAGCAATGAATGTCGGTCCAATCAAGATATGAATATATAAACTAAATTCTTCAAGATGCAACTAGAAGGTCATATCCTTGGATATCACGGTAACATCTTAAATGAGAAATATTTTAAATTAGGTAACTCATCCTTAAAAAAAAGGAGACAAATATTTATAAATTCATCTTTATCAATTGAGCTATGAAATAAATTCATAACAACCATTAATCGATCAATATGATTCATTTTCGAAATTTTATTTTTACATGTTTCTCGAATTCTATGAAATAAATGTGTTATCTAGTAATAATGAATATGTTGTATTTGTTAAGTTCAGACGCATAGGAACTAGTGAACAATTCGATAAAAGCATCAAATATTAAATAAGAGTGAATTTTCTTAACATGTTTCAAAGCATTCAAGAAGATTTATTATATAGATCCTACAAGAAAAATTATTTGCCTTGAAAATTAATAGTTCTTTCAAATAAGTATGCTCATTTCAACAGTAAAATTAAATAAGGCTTAAAAGAAAACTCGATTGATTAAAATGTTTATTTTGAAGCCAACTATATGTTTAATTTCTATTTACATATATTGATAAGTCTGATATAATTAATAAAAAATATTTTCTATCGAATCTTATTACCTCATTATCATTACTGTTATGATTTGACTGCATGTCGGGTGAGACTCACATATTAGTTTAACATCTATGACTCTCTCTACATATAGCAATGTTACACGCCAATAATTGTTCGGGCAATATATTGTTGATTAATAAGATAGATTAGAATTCGTTTCGATTTCGTTTATAATGCTGTCCGATGTGTTGTGTTTTGAATATTGAGACATGACTTTATTATATACCATACAACCAATAATATAAAGTTCGACAAGTGAAAATTGTGCGATATGAAAAGCAATTTATTGATGATGATAACTATTTCGCATGCGATCAAGGAGTTTAAAAAATTTAATAATTCAACTTTGGTTATTATGGATAATACTTATTACTTACTGTATGGTTTTTTAAAAGATTATTTCATATCAAATGAAGTATTATAAGTATGATATTAGATTAAAATTAAAATAAAGTTTATAATTATGATCAAGGTGAAAATCTGCATCCAACTGTAAATTTGTTTAAAAAAAAAAGAAAATAGATTCTTTTAAATTTTTCGAATCATTAAGCAAGAAGTAGTAGATACGTGCTACATCATTTTTATTTGTTTGTCGTTTCATTTGATATTCTTCAATGAGAAAATACGACTCAACATGTTTATTTTTCTCGCTCGTCTTTGTTGAAATTACATTAACGATCTTGATTTACTCATCTATTTTTTTATTTTCATCTTATTCACCTAATTATGAGCTTCGAAAACAATAATTCTTCAATAGTACCAACAATCAATAATCCATACACATATGTAAAGCAGAAGTTGTTTTCATTATCAATATTGATATAGTCAGAATTTTTTTTATAAATATATTTAGTATTATAAATAAAACTCTAATGGAATTTTTAAAACTCATCTTTACCAATATTAATATATGGTGAAAAAAAGTCCAATTCGTCCACAAAGAGCAAATATTCTGCGTTAGTCATAGAAATAAATTGAAGTCAATAACAATAATTCAATTCTTTTTTACTGTTGTCGATATCCAGAAGTTATTCTTTGAGATACTTTTCAAGAGGAAGTCAAAGATGTGCCAATTCGTAAAAATGATATAGTTGTACAACATTTAATCAAGGTACCAAAATTACGTCCACAAATAACTAGTGAAACTGCAGTTATTGTTGCTGTTAATGAAGATATTTTTGAACCATTATGTCAATTTCTTCAAAAAAACAAGAAATATAGTGTTCGTTTGAAATTGATGGTTCAAGTGCATCTAAAACTATAGGTTAGTTTTTTTTCCTTGCCATTGTAGGAGTCAATTTTCAAGCGCTTTACTAAATCTAGTAGTGTGATTGGAAAGAGCACATAAGGTTGTACTTAAAGTGTGCCAACCCTAGTATGGAACATATCTCCTACAGAAGGTAGCTGAATACCCAAAACATGAGCTAGTTACAACAAACAGGTGAAAATGACTATGCTATGTGAAATAACGCCTGAACAACATTGAAAAGAAATCAAATAGAAACTTCGTATACCATGGATCATAGTGAACATGTATATCGGTAGATAGGTAAAAAAAAGAAAAGAAGTTTGCATAATCAAACAAGATTAATGAGAAGAAGAAAGAAAGTATATATATTTGACATTTTGAACAGAGTTTTAATAAGGATCAATTGTATGAATTCGTTCGAGTCATTTAGGCATCACAGGTTGTTGTTGTCCAATAGGTACTGAAATAATAGGGGAAATAAAAAGAATATCACTAATAATTTTCTCAAGTTGAATTTCATTAATTTGTTGTTGAGGTATAATATTTTCTTTTTTGCGGATGATCTTCTTCCATTTTACCATTCAGAAGAACTGCAACTACACTTGTTTCTAGAGTTGTTTTTCGTTAGGGATGATCAATAAATATTTTTGAATCCATTTTACATCCTTGTTCAAATCTAAGAAATGATTCATCTTCATTTGTTGTTGTTGGAAGTGACGACATTGGTTCATTGAGTAAAAGACATTCAAGTTCTTTTAACATTCCTTCATCAGTCACTAGTCATGGTACTGTTTCTGGTACTAATTGTAATAATACTGGTTTTAGTATTTGACAACGACTAATTGTTGTATTATCATTCATAAAATTACTATTTGAATCATCAGCATTTATTGTTGCAATTGTATTATAACAAGTAACAAATGAATTTGATGTTTGTTTACTTATTTAACCCTCAAGAGCCCAATGTCTCTTCCAAGGGACATTCGAATAATTTCAATAAATTCCATTACAAGAGCTTATGTGCAAAAACCAACATTTTTCTAAATTGACATGACCTTAGTAATCATACAGAGATGAAAATACAATTCTCAAGTGACTCCTAAGCCGAACAATGAATCTTTTACGACTCGTAATTTTTTTAACATCATTTTTCTTTTCTGAAGGTTTTTTTATTCATATAAGCGACGTGCGGTTTTGGTTTTTTAAGTGATATTGTTAAACATAGTGTTAGGGTATCTGATGAAACCATCACGTACATTTTATACCATTCCACTAACGCAGAACACTCATAAAGAAAACGTTCCTTCTATGGGATATACCACCTCAAGAAAAAATCGAAACAAAGGGATTTTGACTTGAAATATTGCTCATAAATACGCCATTTAGATTACCATGAAATTTTCAGCAACAACTGTTGTTTACTCTTGGAAATACGGTATGTTGAAGAGAAGCCGGATTTTATGAAGTATTTCTTTTGCGTGTTGTCCACAATCAATAGAGAGATAGTATCTTGTGACAATATAATCAAATGATGTTTTTTTGTTTTTGTTGTTCATTATGATAACCTTTGATATGTTTAGGTAAATACGCTAAATGATCAAGAGTTTTATGTATTTGTTCAGTTCGTTCAATAGTTGTATGCGTTTGCCTAAGTGTTAATTTAATTTTAGCAAAAGTTTCATCAGATAATGAATGATAAGCAAGACGTTTTTCAAGACAAATATTAGCTGCTTGTATCAGATCATTAAGATTAATTGTTGTTGATGTAGATGATGCTGATGTTTCACTATATTTTGGACATTTACGACTTATTCGATTTGAAGTATGTTCTTGTTTATTAACAATATCATATATTTGTTAACATATTTTGATAATAAACCAATATCAACACCCATTGATGGTAATGATGTTGATAAACTATGTTTAATACACCATTCTAATTTATTATAAATATATCTGAATTTATTTTTGTATATATAGTTCTCGAGCTAAATTTGAGGATGTTTCAAATTGATTTTCATCAATTATTTGTGATTGATCAAATAATTTCATCAATTATTTGTATTTTTTCTCTAATTTTTTCTAAATAATTTATTAATATATATATATATGTTCATCTAATTCATATTTTGTTATTTTTTTCATATTGAATGCGTTCACGTTTTTTCATTAGCTATTTTACTAAAAAAAACATCATACAATGTTGTTGTGTATCAGCTTTAAGCATACGAATTTCGTCTTTTAAGACGTTCTTTTGTTAAATCAACATTTTGAAAATTTTCATTTGTTAAAAAGCGTTCTTGAATATGTAATTATTCTAAACGATATATTACACACAATTGAGATAAGTAAAATAAACAAATAAAATAATGTGATGAATATGATAGTATTGGAATTAATTGTGACGATGAATATTGTTGATGAGTATTTGACAATGATTTAAAATATTATTTAATAATTCGATTAAATTCATGTTGTTTATTAATAACCATTGGTGAAAAACACTGTGTTCTATCATGTAAATATTGAGTTTATTGTGTATCAGATAAATAAATAAAAAGAAAAGAATGTGTTACAAGACGAATAAATTCAGTTGAATTTGATAATTCATCTATTGATATTTGTTGTTGTTGCTGTCCAAACGATATCCACAAAAAATTGATTAACATTCGATACCAAGTAAAAGTAAATTTGAATAAAGAAAACGTATTGTTAATGAATTTTCATCAAGACCATATGTTTTCCATAGAGTACCATTATTTGATTGTGGAATATATGTGGCCGGTGAACGAAATGATGATGCTTTCAGTGTACTAAATCGAGCAAGAGTACGTTGATGAGATGTTGAAGTTTGTTGAGGACGAGCACGATTACGATTTGGTGTTGGTAAAGATGGACTTGCATTTTTAGTTGCCTTTCTATTCTATTATTTGACTAATGTTCCATACTAGGGTTTGCACGCTGTAAGTATAATCTCATGTGCTCATTTCAATCATACTATTGGATTTAAGTTAGAGCTTGAAATTTTACTCATAATTCTAATACATTTTAGTTCATTTCTAACAGGCCAACTGAGTTAACTGGTGTTATTGGGTCGAATCCACTTCTATTTTGATTCTAATGATCTTATTGAAAAAAGATCTTCCAGTGATGGGACCGGTTCGGTTCCAAATATCCGGAACCGATGACATCTAAATATATATTCTAACATATTTGTTAATTTGTCCACTAAAAGTGAATGAAGAAAGTATAGCACATTTTTATTGTTTACTCATATGTTTCAGGAATCTTCAGTCACTAGCAATAGTTTTGTTTATTGTTCAATACATAATTTTACAGACAACATTTTAATAGGAAGTACTCATATATATGTAAGTAAATATTAATTGATTATCATTTTCTATTAGTTTTTAGTGCATTAATTAAATCTCGTTTTGTTTTGAACTTTAAAATAATCTTTAGCAGATGGCAATAAAGTTAGAAAAAGTTATCTAATTAATGTCTTATAATGGATAGCTTTACTGAGATTTTCAGACCTTTCAAGTTTAGCCAGTCATAGTGGTTATTACTTTTCAAACTATAAAAGATGAAATGAAATTTACAATTTTGACGAAATCGTTATATTTTGGAGAGAAACACTTTCTTTTTCAATAGGTGTACTTCTCCCCATCATTAGTTTATTATTTTCAAGTGCACCATCACTCCGAAATCAAAAACTAGAAAAATACAGAGTAATGTCTAGAAATTATGACATATATAAATTATTTCTCAAAACCTATGCTATATGACATTTTCACAGAACGTCCTTCAAAGAATAATAACCTGCTAGTTGCAACAAGTTGTGCCCTTTACACTGAACGACGAACAAAAACGCAGTGAGTCGTTCTTGATTAAAAAAAAAGATTGACTAACCACTAAAAATATGCTAGTCTTTTCCAATGGGGAAATATTTCTAACATAAAAACGAAAATATCTATGTTTTTAACATTGTATGCACCTCGTTTTTCTAGGTCACTCTTAGAACTATCGAAAGCGTTATGAGCATGTCTTCAATAAATTATTGTAAGCGGATATTCTAAAAAAAGATTAGAAACTGATAAACTTTTTGTTCTTTATTTTTTAATCAGTTCGGTTCCAAAAAAAACACGAACCGATCCCATCACTGAAACCTTTAGCAAACTATCAATGAAGCTTCACTCTATACGTGCTGTTGTAATAGTAACTGTTTCCAAGGTTTCTTATTACAACTGAGCCTGCATTTGAAATATTTTCATACAAGAATCTCAAGGCTTGAGACATTTCCTGGAATTTCACTAATTTTGAGTCCAACTTTTCTCATAAAATAGTTTCCATAAGTTAGATCGATTTAGGTCTATGGAAGCGAAGATCTCGGTGATGGGATCGGTTCCGGATATTTGGAACCGAACCGAACCAATCAAATTTTTCAAAATTTCGAACCAAACCGATCCCATCACTGGTATCAATAGAAGACAAATGCTCAGATTCATATCCACACCATCCACACATATACATAGTTTTAATTGTTTCTATAATTAATTCATCAGTCTTTCAATCATCAGACCGACAATATCCAGCATGATGGCCATTTCTCATTGTTGTAGCTGTATAAATTCTTGTCGATGTTGTGCAAATACGTGTTGCAGTTCTGCATTTTGTTGTTGTTGTTGTAGCTTTAGAAGTTCTTGTCGTTGCTGTGCAAATACTTGTTTAGTTCTGCAGTGTGTTGTTCTAGCTTTGCAAGTTCTTATCGTTGCTCTGCAAATACTTCTTGTAGTTCTACATTTTGTTGTTGATGTTATAATTTCGCAAGCTTTTATTTTTACTGTAAAAATAATTGTTGCACTTCTACATTTTGTTGTTCTCGTATCTTTGCAAACTCTTGTTGTTGCTGTGAAAATAGTTTTTGTACTTTTGCACTCTGTTGTTGATGTAAATTTGTAAGTTCTTGTTGTTTCTGTTCACTCTGTTGCTTCAATCGCTGCTGAGGATCTTGCCATGACATGTTCTAAAAGGAAACAAATAAAATATGAAAAAGTTGACATCAATAAGCTTAATTTTGAGACTTGGATGCATCTTCTACGGTAAAAGCTGAACATTAGTTGAATAAATTTCAGATTTGTTCACAAGTTACATGATTAGTGATGCAAATATAATTTTGTTTAAAGGAAAGGGTCAAATCGAATATTTGCTATTGAGAAGAACTTCTTTTAGTTTCTGTAAAAATTTATCGAATCTGTCTAAGTACCATACACATTTTTTTAATATAAATTTTGTTAGCTGACACTTTAAATGACGCTTAATATGAAACATGTCATGTTTTGAAAAAGGAACTTTGAAGTCTTTAAAATTCTTGTTTGATTTATGTTTGAGAAACGTCATAAAGTTATTTAACTATCATAAAGTGATAACGTATGGTGTGAAAAAGAGATGAAAGGTCGATTCTAAATTTAGATTTAATATCTTGAACTATATAAAACCTGAATATTATTATATTAGCTCGAAGTAACCCATATAGAAACATTTATGTTAAGAATGCAACTTTTACTACTTGGCGCTGTTTAAATTTTTGATAGTCAAAAGGAAATTCATTGTAATCGACCATATAGACGGAATAAATATCAGTGAAACACACCGATGGGGATTGACAAATCATTGGTGAAAATGACAAATGCAAATAGCGCGAACGATTCTGGTGTAATTCTGAATTAGCATTTCACGATTTTTGTCTGCTTTGCAAACGAAATCAAGGATCAACAAATACCAATTCAATTAAATACAAGACAGATCATCTACTTTAAATAGAGAAAAACGATCACACAAAATTGAAACAAATAACTAGTATTCTCTAGTACTTTTTATAGTTTTGCAGCGTATTTTTAAGAATTCCATCAGCTGCAACTGCTAATAATGGCTTTCAGAATGTTCTGAATAGTACAGAATCAGATTTTTGATCCAGATTAACTATTTTATAAAAGAAATCTTACTACTCATGAGTACTATACAGTTTTAAGATTGATGAAATCAAACAAAATTTCAAAGTTTAATGATTGATGAATATTACCCAATTAAATACATAAATGTAAAAGGCTGATGTAAGACTTACATGAACAGGAAGAAGAATAATTAACGTATTAAGAAATATGAAGCAGAAAGAAAAAGTCAAATATTTGAAAAACTGCACGTATTCTAATGCAGAAACATATTAAGGCTTGTCTTGTAAATGATTATTTAATTCTGTTGAAAAGCCACTCAGTTTCAGTTTCGATAATTATATAAACAGGCATATAAGATGTTTTTATAGTATTTTATCAGTTGTAAATGTACCAGAATCAGTTTGTTCGTGTCTGATAGAACTTATCCACAGCTCTATTTATGATTTCTCATAAGGAATATCAAAACATAGAGCTCAAATATTGAACAAAAGATATAGCCTTAGTGATTGAAAACAGATCAGTCGGGTAGAACCGAACCTTTAACAACAACTATACCCACACCTTTACGAACTGTATCTATCGACTAAGATTGGATTCATCCCAGACACTACAAATTAGATATTTATATTGGTACAGAACTGGAGAGAATCAGTGGCTTCTATACTTCGGTTTTAAGAAGGACTGATGCATAGTGAAAAAGTTATACAAACCTTACATTGTCAAATTACAAGGAAATCATGATCTTAAACTTTTTTATATTAGTAACCAACTTATAGTCCTATATACTTCAATTAGGTGTAAAGAGATAAGGTGATACCATGTCAATTGAAAGAAATTTCAACATCTGAATCAACAATTTGCTAACAACTAACTAGCTTATACAAAATGAATCTTTTTATTCCAAGAAAATACACTAAATAGGTTCATCAAAATATCAAAGATTCATAGAATCGAATGAATTGATATACTAACATACTACTGAATCCATAGTTCTTTTTCAGAATTACGAGGTCGAACTAAATTATTTGGCATCATTTAAAAGTAATCAAAAAAATTTATCACTAAAAATATTTACTTTTATTGCTCCCATAATAAAAGAAATTGATATTTTGAATTGACAGAAAATAAATGATGATAGCAAGAAAGAAATCATACCTTTTTTTAGGAATAAACATGCCAGTATTCAATGTCACAACGGGTTTTTATAGTTTCGTAGTCCGTTATTCATAACGGCCGATTGAAGAATAGGCATTACATACACTGACTGACGTAACCATCTATTGTTGACGTGCCATTAGATGATGTAACCAACTATCCAAGTCTGAACGTACGCTATTGGTGCGCGCGTACGTTATATATGTGCGTCTTGATACACAACACGTCACCAATTACGTGCCCGCACTATTGTCTACGATTTCGCCATGCTGAGTAAGCATTACATTTTCGCCGCTTCATGCAAGAGGTAATATACTAATAGAGAATGGAAGGAACAAAGGCATCTTAGAGAATGTTTGTCTTTAATATAATCTATTCAAACACATTAAATAGTTGTCGATTATTCAATATTTCTTGTCATTTTGAAAATGCTGTGTTTTTCATAGTTTTGTTTTTATATACAACTGTTTGAAACCACATTCTCCTAGTTTGCTAAAAGATCATCAAGGGATACGTTTTGAACATGCTTGGTTGGGTATGAGCGTAGGTATGAGTTTTCTCTTCGCATCTACACTCCTAGTGGACATATTTGATTAAGATTTGCAAGGTGCACAGAGTCCCAGCTAAAAAGTTAATGTAAATAATACTAAGGTTTATACATGTATACTCAAAACTATGAATAACGTAAAATTTGAATATCGTCCTGCAGATACATCAAGAGCCACTAATATTTTAAATTTGTTAGTTTGGCGATGAGAACTTTATTTTGACCCGAATATGTCTAGTCTTTTTAACTTACAACACAGTCACCTTCATTGTAAGTGATAGCTTTTACTCAAGTGTGATTAAAAGCATTTGTTCAAAATCTCTTTTCAACGTAAGACGATTGTTGATTTTTTAAAAACTGGCTTCTGATCTGCAAGTACATATATACATTAAATTTCCAACTTTTATTTCCAAATCGCAAAAGTTAAAATACAAAAATGTGCGTTTCAGAAAGAGCACAAAATTCTGGTTCTAACACATTGGAGACACTTTCTAGCGGTTCAAAAGTGAACAAACATTTTGTTTGAAAACTTTTCGATCAATTATTATTTCGCATTCGTTGTCTGTTCAAAACTGAGCTGATATGACAAAACAGGAATTGATTGTACCATTTCAATCAAGTAATTGAGAAAGTATAAGTAATTTTTTTACAGACACTTCTGCGGTCTGTATCACTCGTGCCGGTAGTTTTTACCAAATTTGATTCAGAATAACAGTTTCGCAGAGAATATAGCAATCAAAATGGAAATAATAAGAGAAACATTTTCATTGTCAAGATGTGTCGCTAAATCATTCTGTTATTTGAAAAATATGCTTATATGAGCATTTGTTACTTGCGACACATATCGTTGTTTTACTTTTTATGGTAAAAGACAAAACACGGCATCTGAGAGAACTTTTTTAAAGGTAAATTAAAAAAAATATGAATGTTATGACCTCTTTTAAATAGTTTCATTATTGGTTGATTACGAAATGTCCATTTTTACGTTGAAATTGATGTTTATTTTGTTTTTTTTTTTGATACTCTCAATACTAAATACTTAATACAAAAGCAAAGTATTAAAGGTACTTATTACTTGGATATAATATAGTGTTTCGCAATCGACTAGAAAAAGTCAGATACCATGGCAGTATTCTGAAAAGTAAAAAAAATGTGCGTTGCTTATTTCTTGCAGCATTATTGAAAAATTGTTCATCGTCTTATATATTCTAATTATAGATGAAGCTAGGAGGTATGTCTTTCTCTTTTATTCTTATAAAGTTTGTAATTGAAATTTTTCTTTTTTTTTTGTTTTAGATTTTCGATATTGTTTTTTTATATGTTTTCTTCATTGATTCCTATCGGATGTACTACATTAGTTTATACATTTGTCAGGTGCTCCACAGTGAATAAATGAAATATAATGAAGTTGGTATTCTTCATTATTAAAGAATGTTCCTTTTTCTAAAATTGATTAGTAACAGAAAGAAGCATACTTTTCACAGTGAGAAAGACCAACTTTAATGTTACTATGCCACAAAATTAAACACAATGCAACAACTGCTAAATGAATATCTAAATTACGAATTTTTATCATATTAATTTCGTACCGATGAGCTTAAAAAATTGCATAAAAATGATGAAACGGGCATAAAAGATGATGTATTTCAGATTCATTCATAAAAACGGACATCTTTATGAGTTTTATTCCATGATTTTGATTAGAAATCAAAGTCATTGCATTTGATTCATAAAAATATCACTGCTAATCAATGAACTTGAAATACATCAATTTTTATGTCTGTTTCATCATCCGAAGGCTATGTTTTTTTTGTGATTGTTTATACAGAATTAATGAAATTTATAAATTCTTTTACATTTTTTAAGTCCATGATTGATTCCCATATGCATATGGTAGTAAAAATTAGTTCAAAGAAGTATTTCTTAAATCTAGTCAGATATATATGTGTGCATATGTGTTATTGTTACAATATTATTATTTTTTACAAAAACATATTTTTTCATTATAAAATGCTGATAATAATAACTTTGTCTTTGGTTTTTATTGATCAGTTCATTGCTATGATGCTTCAATATTTAGAATAAAGTATCAACAGATACTTCGTCAATATCAATGGAAACAATTACATATTTTGATTATGTTTCAGATTTTTATTTGAAGCCTTGCGTTCGATTTTCTTTGAGAATAACAAATTTCAATATAGTCAATTCTCAAAATTCATCTGCGTGCATTATATCTTCGATTACAATAGGAACAACGAATTTATTTTCATTTTTTGTTTTACAGTAAATCTTCCATAAAAAAACAACATGTATATCAGTAAAAGAATTTTATCGTGAATCACTAAGTCTCTTTCATTGAGCATC